CCAGCCATGCAAAATCAATGGGACACACAAAAGTAAGATGGGCCAGGAGGCTCTTTGAGGTAACAAGTTCTGAAGGACTACCTTTTTAAGGAGGTAGGGGTAGCCAGTATGGTACTGTGAAAGCATTAATTCAGTATTTATTGTCTACACATACCAGGCACTGTGCTGGACACTAAGGGTACCACAGTGAACCAATATGGTCTCTGCCCTTACGGAGCTTATGTTTCAGTTGGGAAAACATCAATAAACAAATAAATAGAGAAACGTGCTATGAAGATGACAAACAGGTGCTTTGATAATGTGAAACAGGTAACTTAAGATAGGATGGTTGCTGAAGACCTCTCTTTAAACCAACTAAAACCACTGCTATCAAGTCAATTCCAACTCATAGCAACCCTATAGGACAGAGCAGAACTGTCCCATAGGGTTTCCAAGGCTGTAAATCTTTACAGAAACAGATGGACAGCCACATCTTTCTCCCATGGAGTGGCTGTTGGGTTTGAACCACCAACTTTTTGGTTCATAGTTGAGCACTTTAACTGTGGTGCCAACGAGACTCCATGAAGACCTAAGTGGGTTATAGTTAGGAGTCATGAAGAGTGGAAAGAAACTGCTGTGGAGAAGGGTCTGTGGCAGAACATTGTAGGCAAGGAGTCTAACATAGACTAAGCTAGTGCTTCTGAGTGTGGTATGAATAGCACTTGGTGCAGTGAGGTAGTTTTAATACTCATGTATTTATTTTTACAGATAGTTTCCATTTATTTCAAGGGTTTCTAGTTTTCTATTTATGGCAACGTTACAAAATAATATTTTACAATAAGCTTAAGGGAATTAGTTGATTTAACATAAAAGCATTAAGTAAATAGTAAAAGTGATATTCAGATGTGGCAGAAATCACAAAGGAGGTACATGAATAATCAAACTGCTTGAAGCAAGGAAGAATCTGGCAGGTTTTAAGAACTGAAAGGCCAGTGTGGTGAGCACAGAGAGTAAAAGAGTGCCTTAAAGTGAAGGTGGAGAGGTTCTCAGAGGCTAGACTAGGCAAAGTCACATGGGTTGGAAGAAAGGAGAGAGGATTGTTTTAAACAGGGTTTTGACCGATTCAGCCAATATTTAAAAATTTGAAGTGGAATGATAACCAGAACAGGAAAATTATGGGTTGAAGCTCTGGAATGGAAGACTTGGAAGAATCCAATCAGAAGCCTGATGAGGGAGATCGAGTTATTGCCGGGACTGTGGAGAGCGACACACATTCAAAGCGGCACAGTCAGCTGCCATCCTTGAGTGAGGCATTGTTTCCCGTTCGGTTGCTATACAACATACATGCTGCCCTTGTTTTCTAAAAGGGAGATTACGTTTCTCACAAGATGTCAACCATAATTTTCCCCATTCTGGGTATCCTTCTGGTTCACCCACATTGTATGAATTTGGGTCTGTTCCAGTTTCACTTCACTGGTAATGACTTAGCCATGAAGAACTGGTTTGAACAACAACAACAAAAAGAACCCAAAGTCACTACCATTGAGTTGATTCTGACTCATAGGAACCCCCATGGGTTTCCAAGGCTGTAAATCTTTATGCAAGGAGATTACCTTATCTTTCTTCCATGGAGTGGCTGGTGGGTTTGAATCACTGACTTTTTGATTAGCAGCCAAATGCCTTAACCACTATACCTGCAGAGCTCCTTGAACTGGTTTGAAGCCTGGTTGTAAATGCAGTGGGAAACATTGGAAAGGCTTATTTAAGTTGCAAGATGGCATGATCTGATGATAGATGCTTTCAAAAAATCACTCTGGTTTCTCAGTGAGGAATTAATGGTTACAAGAGGAAGCTGACTAAGCACTTAGGAAGTTACTATAGCATGCTAGTTGAGAGATGAAGAGGACTGGGGCTAGGGTGCTGGCCAAAGAAAGGTAGATGAGTTGACTAATTTGAGATAGCTTTGGTGTCAAGCAGGTGTTGAGGTCACCATAGTTTTGGTTACCTAGTGCCACTCTGACAAGAAATATACCACAAAATGGGATGGCCTTAACAAACAGGAGTTTATCCTCTCACAGTTTGGAGGCTTTAATCCAAGTTAAAGTGCCATCCTCTAGGGGCTGGGTGAAAGCCCCTCAGCCCTAGGCTTTAGCTCTGACTCCAGCTCCTAGCCCACTGAAGCTAGAGGTTTTCTTTACTCAGACAGCTACTGGCTGCTGAGGCTGCCAAGCCCAAGGTTGACAAGTAAAAAGGCACAGTTCCGATGTTACCAAATCACACGGCAGGCCATTAATTCAAGTCCATTGTAAGTCCCAAGGTTGGCAGAGCATGGCAGGCTGCTGAACAATGACACAGCTACATGCAGGGTTCAAGATGCCATATGCTAGAGATCATTCCCAAAGCTGCTGCTTATATACGGGAAGCAGACCACATACCCAAAGGCAGCTACTCAGCTGCTTGTGGTAGATCCCCCTATGGAGTTGATTGCCAGTCTCATCATGGGGAATAACTACCACCAGCTGCCCAGCCACTCAACTAGGCCCAGCCAAGTTGACACACAAACTGAACTACCACAACCGTTAAAAACATGATTCACACAACAAGCACTGGGTAAAACAGTCTTTACTCACATGTAAGTAAGAGTATGATCAGCTTCAGTAGTGGGCATCAGTCCCCATCACTAGTGGGTCACTCCCGGTGGTAGGCTGCACACACCTGTCGTCTGTGCTGCAGGTGAAAGACCCTGTCCCCTTCCTGCCAGGGACAGATAAAGCAGTGGGGTTGGTTAGGTGCCATGTGATGCATACACAAAAGCAGAACAAAGTAACATTGAGCCCATCTCCAAACGAGACAGAATGAGAATGTCCAGGACAGATTGGCTATCTCCCTGTCAGAAGTTGTTGCTAACCTGAAACAGCCCAGAGGAGGGGAAAGAGTCACAGGAATCTGTCCTCCCAGAAGGGGGAATCTGTGAGGCTTATTAATCAGCCGGATGGGAGGGCATGAGGAATGGTGCACTGAGACAAGGCCCAGGTTTTCTGGCATAACAGCTGGGTGTGTATGGTGGTTGTGGTGGTACTCATCACGGAGATAGGGAGGAATAGAGTAGCCTTCCAATAAGGTAGAGCTTCTAGGAGCTGTGAAAAATGTGACCAGTCACCCTTCCCTGCCACACACACACACTTGAAGTACTGGTATGAATATAAAAGAATACTTATACAAAAGTATGTATTATAAGCAGTATGAACCCCCTTGCTGAGATCCACATGGATGTCTATGTATCTGAGGTTTGCATCACTGATACTACATAGAACTTTGCAGATTTAGGAGCAAACTCAGAGGCAAACACCCTAAGAATAATGGATACTGAAACTTTAATAAACTCCCCATAAATGTCATAGATTTCAGGGCAGGGGGAAAAGAACATGCTAACAATTCATTTCTAAATTTGATCAGCTTACAATTCAAAGAGTGTAACAAAATGAAAATAATTTTAATTTATCAGCCTTCAGATAACTGAAATATCTATTTAAAAAACAATAGATTGTCTCATCTTCCTCTCATGGATCAGCTGGTGGGTTTGAACGGCCAACTTTCTGGTTAGCAGCAAAATGCCTTACCCTCTACACCACCACAGCTCCTGAAATATCTGTTTGTGTTGTTGTTGTTGTTGTTATTTGCCATCGAGTAGGCCCCGACTCATAGCAACCCCTCCTTGGGTTTCCAAGGCAGTATCACTACGGAAGTAGGAATGTCCAGCCTTCCTTCCGAGGAGTGGCTGGTGGGTTTGAACCTCCAGCCTTCTGGTTAGCAGTCAAGTGCCTTAGGCACTATGCTACCAGAACTCCTGAAATATCTATTTAGGAAGTTTAATTTATAGACTTTGTCAGGCTTTGCCAGTTTCTTTAATGAACTTATCTGTTTTTAGGGAATGCAAAGTGTGATAGCATTTGCTACAGTATTGACTCAAAACCAAGCAATTAAGGGAATAAACCTAAACCGTCCTATCCTGTATGGTGAACAGGTATGTTTTCAAAGTGATGATAGTAATATAATAACATTTGAATAAATTTAAGGTACTGTTATTTCAGGGTTCATGAATATACTTATTTTATAACTGTACTTACTATATTTTGAAAATTATCATTTACAAAGAAAGTTCTATTCATTATCTTATTTTTTGAAAAGACTCATAACTGATTTTAGATGTTGCTAATTTAAGTAACTTTTCATCTTTTTTTTTTTTTACTGAGTGAGTGAATCTGTGAGGGACAAGTAGTAAACTGAAAGCATAGATGGTTAAGGTTGTAAAGGCCAGCCATCAAAAGGGCCCAGTGTGAACTGTTTTATTGTTTTTGGTTTTTGTTACACTAACTGATATGTCTGAACCATTATGTCTTTGAAATTATCTTTGAAATGTGCATGAATAGCAGGTTGGCAAGTCTGACTTGATACAATAGGTAACCTGCAATATTGAAAATAGAAAGATGAGTGAAAACAGGGATTCTACTTTCAAGACTTCTCCCTTAAAGCTTTAACATCCCTTTGTATTTCTTTTCCTATCAGTTGTAAAAAGTTATGGAATAAGAACTCATTTATTATTGGTCTGAACAAAAGCATAGAAGTAAATGTACTAAATGGTAAAGAAAATGTTCAAAACACTTTCTGCAGTCTTTAAATTATCTACCTCACTGTTGCCCATCAGTATGAGTAAGTCAGGATTAACCATAGTTTTAAAGTAGTATTTTTCAAATTTAAAACTGTATTTTACTTTTCCTGTGTAGACCTCTTTCTTTGAATTATCACTGCACTTTTCTGACCCCAAATTTTGTAATTTTATATCATGTTAATTATTTCATGTGCATAAATCTAGTGGCATAATCTGGTGGCACAGTGGTTAAGAGCTTGGCTACTAACCCAATAGTCAGTGGTTCAAATCTACCAGCCATTCTTTGGGAAAAAGATGTGGTAATCTGTTCCTGTAAATATTATAGCCTAGGAAACCCTATGGGCAGTTTCACTCTGTCCTACAGAGTTGCTGTGAGTCATAATAGACCAGATGGTGCACAATAGCTTAAAATACCCAAAATACTTAAAATAGATCAGTAAAATACCTAGTTTAAAGTAGGTACCCAGTGAATTTCAACATGATTCATTTATATAAATATTTGGGTGTTAACTGTGAAGCAGATCCAACAATGTTATGTGCTATAGGTTATATAAAGCCCTTATCCTCAAGAAACTTTCAGTCTACATGGAGAGACATGAACAAGTTAAATTAAGAGTCTGAAGAGTGATCTGCTCAGGGTGCTATGGGATCATGAAGTAGGACATCAAAACCAAAGCAAGGGGAGGTGGGTGGCAGAGAAATTTGTCAGATAAGGACGTGACAGATTTAAAGTCCAAATTAGAAAATCTTGGCTTATATCCCTGAGAAAATAAAGTACTTTTAAATTTATGAAATCACATTAGAAACACAGTCCCTCTTTTAAACATGTTGAGTGATGTTATCATTCCCGAAATCCTTTTAAGAGTAGTTATTAAAAGCCCAGCCCCTCTCCTAGGCCTAGGTTCTTGCTCTCAGCCTGGTGCTTCTCTGCAGCTAACCAAACAATTGCCCAATTTCTAATTCTATTTCTATTCTGAGGCAGCCACCACCTTCTCTATGCCTAAAGGTACTATTCTTCTCTTAAATGGCTGTTGAATAGAATTCTCCTGTGCTTCCCAATACATTGCTGGTCCCAAAGATAAGCCTACAACCTATTCCATTTAAGGGTTTTACTGTTTATTACTGTGAATGAACAGGGGTTAACGAAACAAAACCCTCTAAGATGTTGGATCTCAGCCTTGGTTGCTCATTGGCATTACCCAGGGAGCTTGGAAAAATACTGATGCCATGCCACCCTAAACAAAACAGAAAGTCGTAGCTAAAACTCCTTTTTATGTCTGCCACTAGTTCCCTCCCTTAATAAGGATGAGCCCTCTTTTAAGCTTCTTGGCCTAAAAATGCAATCAGAGCACCAATACAAATATTTATTGAGTGTGTTCTCTGTGCTAGTTAGTTACTAGGCAGAGCAATACTGGACCCCTTTAGACATATCTTTTCAATGTCAAAGCAGTAATATAAACAAATCAGGTACAGAATTATTATAGAATATTGAACAGTAATTAAATGCCTTGCATTTTTCTATGGAAGATTTACTTTACACCAGGTACTTTTTATTTGTTTATTCCTTTAATTCTCTGAGGGAAGTATAATTTCACCTGTTTTACAGAAAAAGAAAGAGAGGTGGCTTGATTAAATAATTTGTCCAGAGTCATATAGCTAGTAAAATGTAAAGCTGACACCTGGACAGTCTTGATTGTTATAAAGCTCATGTCCTTCCTGCTACTGCTCTGTGGTTTCATATTGCTATATACTTTTTGAAAGTACTTTTACATAAAAAGCATATATTATCCATGTTTATTAGCAGCATTTTCAGTGACTATAAAACTTATTACATATATAGCAATCATGCAAGAGGACCTCTCTTTTAATCATTTAATAAACATTTAGGATGATTAAATTACGATTAAACCATGCTTTGATTTTGTAAAAAATTAAAATCCTTGGTATTCATATCTTCATTGAGGTTTATCTTAGTTTGCTAGTGGTAACAAGGATATCACAAGCAAGTGACTTTAAAGAACAGAGATTTATTTTCTCACAGTTCTGGAGGCTAAAAGTCTAATCAGGGTGTTGGCTGTTTCAATTCCTTCTGTGGAACTCTCTCCTAGTTCTGGTAACTGCCATCAATCCTAGGCATTCCTAGTGTTCCTCACCATACCCAACTACTATGTGTGTCTTTGTGTCTAATCTGCTCTTTCTATAATTTAAAAGTGATTAGGTATGGGACCCACCCTATTCTAGTATGACCTCATTAGTATAATAAAAGAAAACTCCTTTTTCCAAACAGTCATATTTACAGATACCACCACCACCACCCCCAAAAAAAACACACAGTTGCCATCAAGTCAGTTTCAACTCATGGCAACACTATATGTTGAAGGGTAGAACTGTGCTCCATAATTTTCAAGGCTGTGACTTTTTGGAAGCAGATCACCAGGCTTTTATTCCAAGGCACCTCTGAGTAAGTTCAAACCTCCAAGCATTTGGTTAGTAATCAAATGCTTAACTGTTTCCACTACCCAGGGATTCCATTTACAGGTATAAAAGGATTAGGATTTCAACACATATTTTGGAGAGAAACAATTCAATCCATAAGAAGATTATATACTTTTTGCCTGGAAGCAGCTAGATTGAGGAGCTTGAAAATAGAAGTCTTCCAGTGGCCAGAAAACAAGAGTAAAATATTAGAGAACATTTTATAAACATTTAGGATGATTATAAAAAGGAAGAATCAGATATATCATGTTGTTGCTGTTGTTATGTGCCATCAAGTCATACCCGACTCATAGCGACCCCTCCTTGGGTTTCCCAGGCAATATGACTACGGAAGTAGATTGCTCAACCTTTCTTCTGAGGAGTGGCTGGTGGATTTGAACCACCAGCCATCTGGTTAACAGTCAAGTGCCTTAGGCACTACGCTACCAGAGCTCCCCAGATCTATCATAGGATAATTAATTTTTTCTTTTTTTGTAATAAAAATTAAGATTGGGAGATGTGTTTGTATTTTGTCTAAAAACCATAAAGACTAGAGATCAAAAAGTTCTGAAACATTTGCAGGGTACAAGAAAAGTTTAGAGATTCTGGAGATGCCAGCATAGGGGAGCTAATATTTTAAACAGGAACCCTGGTGGTGCAGTGGCTAAATGCTTAGCTGCTAACCAAAAAATCTGTGGTTCGATAGAAAGATGTAGCAGTCTGCTTCCACAAAGATTACAACTTGGAAACCCTATGGGCAGTTATAGTCTGTCCTATTGGGTCCCTATGAGTTAGAATAAACTCAGAAGGTGATGGGTTTGTTAGTTTTTTATATGCTAAACACTATGATAACCAATTTTTTTCCTGAATGATTGTTTGATTATTGTTGTTTTTAATCTAATTAACTAGTCTATTTCACATCACTTAGTCACTGTATTTTACAAGTGCCTGCTACCTGTTTCTGAATGGGTAAAGCTATCATTCCTGGCAAAGATAATTTTTCTTTTTTTTTTTGCAACAGGCCAAATAAATGCAAATTGTAAAGGAAAAGCCTTAACCAATAAAATATTTTTTTTATTTTTTATTTTTATTTGGGATTAGGGTGAAATTTTACAGAGCAAATTCACTTTCCATACAGCAGCTCACATACACTTTGTCTCATGACATTGACCACAATTTACCACAATGCAACAGCTCCCCTCCCACTTCCTCCCCATAGTTACCTCTTTCCTGTGTCCATCCCTCCATGCACTCCTGCCCTCTGAGCTGTCTCCCTGTG